TTAAAATATGAATGTTAAAAAGACCTAAGTTCAGATACCAATGTCTAGGCCATCTAACCATTGAAGTGCAGCATCGTTTATACAAAAAAAAAAATCAGGTATTGGGCCATTGTATGCCCTCAGCTTACAATGCCACAATGTGATCTAAAGTTTAACGTGCGGCCCCGCACTCACACTGAGGTGACGATGCCATACCCCATTTATGCAGTGAATCCTGGCAAACGCCATGTAAGGTGCAAATCCTGTTCAAGGTCGTCCATTGCTGGCGAGATAGATCAAAACCTGGCACCTTTTGCGTAGGGTCATCTATGTTTCTTCCTGTATTTGGGCGTTCAACAACCCATTTAACTTTCCACTGGGAGTCGATGTTAAAGTTGTTATGCAGATGTTGTGCAAGTACCAATGGAGGCTTCCTCGATTTAAGCCTTCCAAGTGATAAGTAGGGAAGGTCAGCATGCACCGGAAGAAGTGGGTTGTTCATAATTTTTCTATATTCTCTCACTAGTGCATCTTGCCTTCGTAAAGCTGGCGGTGCTATATGGCTCAGAACTGGAAGCCAACAGATGGGAGTGGTTTTAATGCATCCGGTTATAATCCTCATGGTGTCATTAAATCTGGCGTCTAACTTACTAGTAGGGCAGCTGTTAAGCCCTACAGGGGCGCAGTATTCTGCTGTGGAGTAGACCAGCTCCAGTGCTGATGTCCTGAGGGTGGCAGTGGAAGCTCCTCATTTTGTTCCACCTATGTCATTCCTAGTGTTGATTTTTGCAGCCATATTCTCTAGATGTATCTTACAAGAAAGAGTCCAATCCAATGTTACCCCGAGGTATTTTGGATAAGGGTTGTAGGGAAGTAAGTTGCTATTCAGGTAAACCTTCGGGGCTTTATTTGCTAGTTTATTATTAAGGTGGAAACACGTGGTCTCCGTTTTACTGATACTAGGAGTAAGCCTCCAATCAGAAAAAAATTTCCCCAGGACGTCAAGATCGTTTGAGAGGAGTCTGTCTGCCACCTCCATGTGTTTATCTTGCACTGTTATGGGTGTGGGGTGTGAAGCTAGTTCACCTCCTCGTGATGCACCTGGATAGCGCGAAAGTGTGAACTAAACGAACTAGCAATAGTTGGCAGCCAGAATACATTCTCAATTTCCTGGCTCTCAAAATACATGGAAACGAAAACAATATTTTGTAGTTCAATTATATTTGGCACTATGGTTTTATGTTTATAATATATTTGCTTACTATTTTTATTGTTGGATATTTTGATACCTTTTTACCACTATATTATTATCTATTTGTACCTTCTTCCTTGTAAGCTGCTTAGAGTCAAATGACTGAAGCAGCATAAAAGCATTTGTAATAAATAAGTAAATACATTTGGAAACCATGACTTATGAATCAGAACATCGCATGAACCTAGCCACTGTGACTCGCACAACAAATGACGGTTAACAGTAGCTGAATTTACAAATCTTGGGCCAAAAAAAAAAAAAGATCTGACAATTTCAACAACAACAAATCCAGTCATGTTTTTAGTATAGGCTATGTACTACATCCTGTAACCATAGTTTTAAAAAGTGGTTAGCATTCAACCAAAAGTCCTAGAAGAATTTGGAACTCAAGTCTCCATTTATTTTTAAGGCTGCTGAGGACAAAAAATTGTTTGTGGCATCATGCTTCACTTTTTTGCAGTTATCATTCTTACCTTTTAATCCTTGGCTGCAGATTGTTTGTATCATCATTAGCCCAAACCCCACATGACTCAACCTTCAACTGGAATCTTAAGTTGACATTTATATATCATAAAAGAGCATGCATCACGAGAAACAAGAAGAAGAACTACGTATGTTGAGGGCCTGTTCAGATGGAATGCCAATTTGGTCTGGCATAATATAAATGGCACCCATGGGATCAGAGGGAAGAGGAAGAGCCAGTGACATACCAAGGAGGGGCAGGAAGCGGTCCACCCTGGGTGCAGGAACTAAGGCGAGGGATGCTGCTGAAGACATGAGGAGACTAGTGGTAGGTGTGGAGTTAGGTCACTGCTGCTCAAGGGCCAATCAACCTTTTGGCAGTTGGTGGCAGCACTGCAGTGACAGAGCATATTTTTTGTACTTTCACATCATTTTTTTACTCCTAGCAACTGCAGATTACTTTATGAATAAGAAGTCATGCATTGTAGTTTAACTGAACTTTCAATGTCATGCCTGCTATCTATACTAACAGCATTCATATATTTGACTTACCTAATTCTTTAGATCCTTGACTTTCACTGGCCAATTCTCCCATTTTAACCAGAGCATCAAAATATCCTTTTGCAGCATACGTCACACCTAGATATTGAAAAATATAAAACATTATGCCCATATTTATTTTAACTCAAAATGCTCAAAAGATCACACAAAAGCATTTTTATAGCATCTGCTCAATTATTTTCATTAATAATATTTTATAATGTTGTTATAAATATTATACTATTTTATTTTGCAGAATATTAGCCATTATCACCATTTGATCCCAGCAAGAAATCAAAATGGCATCTTTAAAACTATTGGCAGACCCTATTATAGCATTAACAACATTTTCACTGTCTAGATGTTAGGGTTGTAGAAAACATACCACAAAAATTAAATACAGGAAATTAGGGAAATGCTAAAATTTGCATGATTTCAGTCCAATTCCACCATATTATGCCTGCTATATTTTCATCCAGGTTCTGTATCAGTCTTCCCCAACCTGGGCCTCCCACAGATATGTGGATTTCAGTTCTCAAAATTCTCACCAATAGTCACATTGCATGGCACCCAGGCTGGGAGAAGATTGTTTATATAATTCAGCATTAATTATATACACAATAATTCATATGATTCAAGCCCACTTGAAGCCAGGTAAGATTGGCAAGGCCTATTTTCTGCAAAAGCTCATATCCTGTGACAATGCAGATTGATTTCAGGGAAGTTTCACTTACAATCTAATCCCACATCTGGAGTAAGAGGGAAAAATGGGATTTGATTTTAAAATGAATAGAGAAGTTAACTAGTTAGGTATTAAGGAGAACTGGAAATAAGCTATGAGAAAAAATAATAAAGAGTAATAACAAAGAATAGTAATTAATAAAAGAATAATCATAGTAATAACAACAACAGTAAGCAAAAGGATTAGCAACAACTAGTTATGTGAAATTCCAGCTTTGCTCTTTGAAGTGATGTTACTGTGAAAGGATTCCTGAGAATACAAAACTATGTGTGTTTCTTGGGTTGGCTCCGACAAAGTCTTTATCTCAAGGTTAAGAGCTATCTAGAAACTAATATTTTATTGCAGACTAGCCTATGAACAGTGTTTGTTTTAAAATGTCCTCTGAGATTCAGGAAGTGCTGTAATTTGGAAAGTCAGTACAGGTTAAAAATCTTAAGTGCATAGTTTAGAAATGCTCTTGAACCCAGCATGGGCTTCAACATTGCCATCCCATTTTTTAAAGTCACTTTGGGCAACTATGAAAGTTCAGAATATTAACTTTGGAATGAGGAAAAAAAAGATAATACTGCAATTATGAGGATTCCAAAATAATTTATCTGCCACCCATTAACTTATATGGCCAACTTGGTTCTTGTGTCATCAACACATTTTTTTGAATTAGAAGAAATGTCTCACCTCTATATTATAATGAAATTTAGAATAGCTTTTTTAAATATTCCAGATGTTACCAAAGAATAAAATTTAATAGTCAAAATGCATTTCAGAAAATTCAGTATTATGAAGCTGCCATAGAAAATGGGACTTTAAGCAACAGGTACTGTGCATAATCTTGCAGTTATACAGCCCCCTTCAAAAAAAATCCTGATACTTAAATCATAACAAGAATATTTGTTTTCCTTATAGCAAAGAGGTGGAATCTTTGAAGAACATGGACTTGGTTGTAAAATATGCTGTACCTTTTATTATTAGGCCACCCCCAAACTTTGTTAAGAATTTGAAATTTCTTCAAAGTCAGAAAACAGGAAGCTACCAAAATCTGACAGATTTGTTTGGATAACTTATATCGTAGGACTTTTGATATCTGGGTATACAGCCTGAATTTACCTTTTGCGAGACAGCCCAGTAAAGCACACACATCCTTGATATTACCTTACAAAGGCTCCAATACTATTACTAAGAAACTCACTAGCTTAGACTTTCAAATGCAGCTCATAGATTTAAGTTGTTCTGTTGATATTCTAACTGTGCACACATCATTTTAATCAGATAAGCAGAGAGTTCCTCATAGTCACAGGAACACGTTATATTGTTCTTGCAAATGCTACCTATTTAAAATGCTTGCCTTTCAAGAGAATCAGAAAATGAAGGGGGAAAAAAGAGTGCCATTTAATATTATAGATGTATTTATGATGGACATATGTAAATCAAACCTGTATCAGATGAAACTAGACTACAAGAATCAATTGCAATTAAGGTATCTTAAAGTACTTCTCTTACCACTAGGTCTACACTAAATACAGACTAAGCATGAAATAAGTTATTCTGTATTTATGAAATATAGTTGTGTTAAACTAGTTTAATATAGTTACATACTCCCTCTTCTGTATTACAGGATGTTAAATGATTCCTCTTTTATTTTTAAAGCATAGTTACTAGTACCTTTAAAAAAATAACTGACTTTTAAAAGCCCATTATGAATCTTCCAATAAGTGTCTTGGGCTCTGCAGCTATAATGCAAATGGAGTATATAAGGACTCCAGTTACCATTTGGTTCAAAACTATATGTGGCTAAGCCAAATTTCAACTGTTTTCTCAATGTTTATTCTTTCTCAATAAATGTAAACCACTTAAAATTGTAATTTCCTACATTTCACAGATAAACAAGGAGAATAGGTTTACTTGCAACTCCTCCACCCCCAGTACTTCCACACCTGCTTAACCTCCAGAAGTGTTGGGATTTCAACTGACAGAATTCCCAGACATTACAGTTCATCATCTACTGTAGATTTAATTCATACCTCCTGGAACACCCCATTCCACAATGGCTATCATAACTAAATTGCCCATAACAATTTCAGCTCTTTACTATTTTGTACCTTAAAATCCAAAATATAATTTGATCTCATAATAAATCTTCTTGCATTTATTAGAAGAGTAACAACTTTCAAGATTCAGCAATAATTATATTACCCACTATCTGGATGTGCAGTTAATTGTGGGAAGGATAATGGTGTAAATTACTTCTTGGCCTTTTGCCTAAGAGCAAATATGTGTAGGATAAATGTACATAATGCAATTTTAAAAAATCATTCTAAAAATCTGAATTGCAAAGTAACTGATTTATCATGAATAAATACCAGAAAACAGTATAAATATTCATTTTTAACCTCTTTTATGAAATGCTTCCCATGCAAGAAATACAAAGAAGTTATAATGAAATGTTGAATTTTAAATTAGTTGCATTGTCATAGATCATGCTATGTCTTTTACTTCCTCTGATTTTGGTCCCAGACTTCTTGCACATGCAAGTACATGATTTCCCTCTCCTATCATAGGCTACTCAACTGTAAAGCATTCACAAACTTCCATATTTTATACATACATACATAGACTGGGGATGTATATCAAAGGTGAGGAATGCTAGGAATTGCAGTTTAGTAACATCCGGGGGCCACAAGTTTCTGTCCCTGTCATATTTATTATTTATGCTTACAATGTTCATACTTATCCAAAGCAATGTGGAAAAAGTTTATTATTCCTGCAAAGTTGTCTATCAGATGTCCTATGGTATATGGATCAACTTATTCTGATGAGCCATAAAAGCAATATATGTCAAAATGTCATCCAAACATGCAGAATTTCACATACTTTTATGATAGAATAACATATTCTTATGTAAACTTTCTTTCTGGCAAAAAAATCAACAGGACATATTTTAGGCCAAGACTTCAATCCTTCAGCTTGTTCTGAATGCTGCAACTCAGTCTCTGAATACATAGAATAGAGAAGTGCAGCTCTTAAACATACTTGCTATGATACTAGCATACTAACTAGTACTAGCAAGACATACTAGCAAAACATACTAGCAAGAGTTCTCTTGCTATGAGGAAACTCAGATCTGCCTGCACTTTAGAAAATGTGGGGTTTTAGCAGGCATGAGCTGCAGTCCCAGCACCTCAAGTAGCCACCGGAAGACAGTTCAAAGATATGTTACATAGCTGGCACACAAAGAATGAGAAGCAGGTGGTTCAAACAGATTTCCCTAAGTCTCAGTCAGAAGATATAGTATTCACACTGATCTGACTCTCCTGGTTCCAGATTGGCAAAGCAATCAACAGATTGGCAAAGCAATAAAAAAACAACACTATATAATCTCTATTCAACCTATATACAGCATATATACTGAGGGAAGCTGGATTGAAAGAAGATGAGAGTGGTTTTTAAATTGATGAAAGATACATCAATAATCTTTGCTATGCTGATAACGCTAACACGACTGCTGAAAAAGGAAATAATCTGCAAGTTCTAGTAATGGAAGTCAAGGAGCACAGTGAAAAAAATGGGACTCAGGTTAGACATAAAGAAGCCCAGACTAATGACAACCTTAGAACTGACACTGAAATGGTAGATAGTTTCTGCCTTTTAGGATTGCCTATCAACAATAAAGGAACCAGCAGTCAAGAAATAAGCCACAGACTAGCACCTGGTAGGGTAGCAATTAAGGCCTTGGGAAAGAGATATAGATGCTGGGATGTGTCTATACCTACAAACATCAGAACTGTACAGGCAATGATTTTCTCTGTGACACTATGGAAGCAAAAGTTGGACTTTAAAGAAGCAGGGTAAAAACAGTATTGACGCTTTTGAACTTTGGTGTTGAGGAAGACTCTTGAGAGTATCATGGACAGCCAAGAAAACAAACACATTAATCATAGTACAAATCAATCCAGAGTTCTCACTCAAAGCACCAGGCTCAAATTTTGGACACATTATGCAAAGACCCAGCTCCCTTGAAAAATCTATAATGCTGGGAAAGGTGGAAGGAAAGAGAAGAAGAGGATAACCTTCTTCTCTTTCACAAATCACAAGGTGGCTGGATTTGATTACAGCAATGATAGGTGCAGAGATCAGGGATGAATAATCCTAGGGGAGATCTATCTATCTGCTCATTAAAAGTCAACACTGACTTGATGGCACAAGTTCTATTTAAATAAAAACCAGCAAGCAAAAATCCCAAGGATGCTAGCCAATGTTGTACTTAAACAAGTTGGCAAAGTCACTGAAGCAGTGAACAACTAAGGAACAGTGAAACCATTGGAAAAAAAATGTTTTCTGGGGAACTTTCACTATAACTTTGTTTAGACTCAAGTACCAACAATTATGAAAGGAAGGAACAATTAAATACTATTTTGTAGCTCAAATCCCTGGGATGGATGAGATAAAAGTAGTCGACCTACACTTTGGAATTAAAAAAAAAAAATTAACCACAGAACAGCAAAGAAACATCAGCGGAAGAAATACACAACTGACCTCCAAAATGAGTTGAAACACTGGCAAAAACATATAAAGGCCCAGGAAAAGTAGCCAGAATAGAAAATGAGATGCACTAAGTCCGTAAGAATATGCATTCTCCTCAGCAGTGTGTTCTAAAAAATAACAGTTACCTTTACTAACCAAAGCCACTTCCCAAAGCTATGAACTTAACCATATTCTATTATTGTGAAGAGTCTTGGATTAGGATTGGTTTTGTGTTCATTTCTGGATTTTGTATTTCCAAAAATGGGGGAATCACCATTGTTTGCTTTTCTGGAGACAGTTTGGAAAAGCCCTGTTGCAAACTGAAGGAAACTTAACATCTTGTTTGAGAACTTTCATGTTATTTTATGACTTAATAAAGGTATTTCTATAACATGGCTATTGGAATGTTTCTTATTGTCCATCAGCATGGTTACTACTGGGTTCTTGGTGTCATGGCTTCACCCTGAGAACAGCAATACATCTCTCTCTAGCTTTTGTGAAGCTCATGAGCATAAACATGTGCTCATGAGCTTCACAATGGAATATTCAAGAACGAGGTTCAGATAAGTTGCTTTCACTGCAGGTGGAGAAGAAGTTCTTAGCACAGCAAAGATCAGCTACTAGAGAATGTAGAAATCTAGCTATGTTTATATATCCACTCCAGGGTTCACTCTCCAGCTCTTTCTCCTGCCCTTATATGGCCATGGTATTTTTGCCATCCATTTCTCAGCTTTGGATATTAAAGGGACCTCCAGAATATTTGGATAACAGCATGGTATAGTCTCAGGATCTTTATTTCCAACCTTGCTAGCTTCAGCCCTTGTACTTGGTGTCTTTTATTGAAGCATCTGTTTTTATAAGCAAGAGTCAACTTCTGTCAGCCTTTTGAGGTAGGCCAGGTCAGGAAGCAGACACCACAAGGACTACTGGAACTCTACTTTATTGTTGTAGGATATAATAATAGAATCTTGAAAGCCTGCCAGCATTTCCCTCTACCCTATACTTATGGTGACCATATTTCCTTGGAAAAAATAAAGAACAAACCTGAAAAAGGGGCAAATCTGAAAGAGGTTCAGAAGGAGAACATTTTTAATTGTTTATGTTTATAACTCTGCTTTACAAAGGAAAATTCAAGAGCAGAAACAAAGAAAAACTTTACAAAAATGCGTATTCCAACAAAAATATCTAAAATCAAACAGAATATATTAAATTTATTTTAAAAAGACAATTCAATTTCCATATTTTTCACATGAATGTGCATTAAGTGGTACCATTTGTACAGTAAAAGTTAAATGACCAAAATAAAGGACAAGCCTGAGTTTTTGAAAAATAAATAAATCTAAAGGACAGCTTTCTGAAATAAAGAACTGTCCTTTATAATAAAAGATGTGTGGTCACTGTACCTACATTATACAGAATCATGTTATTTTGAGTATTTTGAGTCCCTTTCTCATGTTTCCTCCTTTCTTAGGGCTGGGATGTCATTTACTGTCTCTTTTGTCTGCTAACAATTGTTGCACACCTTCATAAACCTTTCCTCTACAACTTCATTGGATATAACTGATCTCACCTAGGAAGCTTGTCACAATTACAAGTGTTAAAAAAGCTGATGTGAAATTTACTGAAGTCATAAGATTTAGATAAATGATTTACTAGTCCTGCTACAGCTAGTCTGGATAAAGTTGCAATCAACACACTGGCTAAAGTTGACAACATCAAATCAGTTTTGCCTAAGTTTAACTCAAAACTTTCATCTTAGGTATCACTAAGCTCTCTGCTGCTGTACGAGTAAGTCTGCTGACTTAGTGTGGTCGATCATTTCAAATTTTGGGTATGAAATAGCTCTTTCAGGAGCAAAATGGGCTGCTTCAAACATTTTGAAACTCTTCTGAGTTGGAACCATTATTTCAACTGCATTTCTGCCTTGAAATGCTTTAAAAATGATTGCAACTGCCTGTTTTGAACTTGAAATGGGATTATCTTGCACTCAAAACAACCATTCTAAACTCAATGTAGGGCATTGCAACTTCAAAGGCATTTGAATTCAAATTTTTTGCATACCCCTACCAACTCAGCTTAAATATAATACTGCATGCTGCCAAATACAAAGCTACAATTTGCAATTGTTATTTTTAAAAAGGTATATTAAGAAATTACAGAGAGTGAAGATGATTTGGAGAGACTAATTAAGAATACGGAAGTCCTAAGCTGAATTTATTACCTCGTTGGTAAACCAGCAGCCTGTTCCTGGCTCATAATTGTAAGCAAGATGCTTTGTGTTATAGCTCTCCAAGCAGTCTACCTTAAGAGAGCTTTAATGCCTTACATGTCATAAAGAATACTAACTCTGAAACTTAATTCAAAGAGCTGCTTTGTAACTTGTCTGTGATAGCTGAGAGCATCTTTAACATTGAGGACAATGCTGACAATGCTTGTAACAGATACTACTAGTTTTTCCTACTTCAGCCATCACCAAGGGTCAAAGGGGTACCATTTCTACAATTGCCATGTTACAGCCATGACAAAGTACACAGTGTTATTTCATTTACCTGCCAAGGCCTTTTCATAGTTCTTCCCCATGGATATGAAGTTTCGGAGGCTGGGGTTAAACTGTTCCATGATTGTCTATGAGAAAACAAAAGACATTAGCAATCCAAGAACTCCACATTAAAGGCCAAAGTGTTTTTCTACTCCTTCTATACAACATGTATGAATACACAAAAGGTTAACCCACAATCGCATGAATTCCTAGAAACCAAATCCTCCCACATGCACATACACAGCAAACACAAATCTGTCCTTGACAATTTATAAGATACCAATGTATCTTTCTCATTCTAGGATTTAACTATATAGCTATATACTATATGAATTCCAGACCCCACACCTTTCTTGTATTCATTGTATTCATTCTGCCAGGAATGAAAAATATGAAACAAAAACAAGTTTGAAGAAGAACAACCAGCTGTGGTATATATACAATATAATATGTAAATACAACACAACAAAAGTTTATTGAATTGGTCAGATACCATCTTACACATATTTTTACAAAGATATTTTTCTAAGACTTCACCACACTAATATAAACATTATACTTCAACCCATTATTTTAAGCTCTAATTAAATACACAGGCTTGATAGGCTATTTATTTATTTGTCTTATATGGCCACCAATTTGGAAAGAGTCATGGTAGTTTACATTAAAAATCCAATAAAAACTAACACTCAGAATGCAAAAGGTGTAAAAATTAAATGAGGCTATGGGGAGGTACATATATGCCTCATTTGTACATCTGTCATCACTCCATGGGATCACAAAACACCTTGGTCCATGGCTGTTCGAAAATCCGTGTTTTTAATGACTTTCTAAAGCAGAGCAGTGAAAGGGCCAAACAGACCTCTTGGGGAATGAAGCAGCAACAGAGAAGCCCGGCCTGTATAATCCCACAAGATGGCATTGTTTAATTGAAGGGACCTGGAGCATGCCCACCCAGTCAGATCTTATGGGACTGGCAGTCCCACACAAATGAGCCCCACTCTTATGGCCTTCTGGAAAACTATAAAGACCTCGCTTTTCTGTAGGGTCTTTTAGGACTAGGTCTGGATCCATCAATGGCACTTTGTGTGTGTGTATACACATACACATGTATACCCTTTTAAACTGCCAAGTGTCCAGTTGGACTGAGGCAGTGTATGAATTTCATAAACACATAAATATTCTAGAATCCATCATCATCTGTTTCCCCACAGGGATTTTTCATGGATAATTAAAGCATTAACGTGCTATATTTTTTAAAAAATTCTGCATACAGCATGATATCAGAACATGTTTCAGACAAACATGTTGTGAATACATGTGGAGATGTTACTCACTAATTTTAAGCAAATGATTTGTATTCACAGATAATTGTGTGATGCAGTTGATTCAATGACAAATCTCTTCCTACTGGCATGTGGAAGGAAGGAATATATACCAAGTCTTAATTATACTAGGACATTATTCAAATGTGTCATGTAAACAAAGATTATTTCTGCATCATTATACCAAAATTAAAGTTGGATAGTAGGGAGTCCCATTCATTCAAGTTTAAGGATGAACTATTTAATCCCTCTTGTTGGTATAAAATAAACCTTAGCCGGTTTACAAGAAATTCCATAGACATGAGAAATAATTCAGAACATCAGCATAGAGTAAGAATTTTACAACAATGGCACCAAGTTCTGAAAAGACTGAGGATTAAACTTCATGTACCACTTATGCTTACACACAAAATTAAAGCTCTTTTTAAAAAAGTCATTTTATTGAGAAGTAACCTCCAGTTTATCACCTGAGTGAGGGCAATTGGCTTAAATAGATAACTTAAAGTTCTAGTAAACGTTTGCAAGACAAAACAGAAGCACATCAGATAAGAAAGAAAGAAAAAACTGTCTCTCTGTTTGAAAGCTTTCCCAGTTGCTCTGCAAAGGCTTTCCAGACTTTTATGCGCCTCTGAAAATTAATTACTAAAGCAGACATTTTATAATGTAAAACAATGTTACTTCTAGATCAAAGTGGAAGAACAAATAACATGGCTGCATATATGGGATGTTTACTGTAACATACTGAGACAAATAAAATTAAAAATACAAACTACAAATTATCAGCATGAACAGTCCCATATCATAACCACAGTAAAACTATAAAGTTTATTTTTAAGCTAAGAAAGTATGTACAATTGCATAGAGAGTTGTAGAAAGATCATTCTTCTCAGCTCTTGAGCTACATGATGATGGACCTTGAGCTGAAGATGGTTTGTTGGCATAGATAATAAAAGAGCTCTATAGTATGGTAAAATTGTCATATTTCTTATGTTTCTTCTCCTTATGATTCTTAGTTTATGAACGGATTTCTCAACTAATGTCATTTGCCACGGCCTCTCAAACTACTTCTGAGAGCTTCATTGTAGATTTATAATGCTTGGTCACCTTCAATTCCACAACAGTACTACTAGAAGCACTTGATCAAATCTCTAGAACATCATTATTATTTGCCTAGATTGAAGGAACAAAAAATGGGAGAACTGCAGGGAAAAAAATCTCCCATCTATCAAATGGATAGCTGTCTGAAAGCATGAGCATCTTCAAAAGAACCTCTCCAACAGATCTTAACAGCTAGACATGTTCATAACAAGACAGTGCAAAGGTGACGGTGCAAAAGCCACTTCCTTATTGAAGGAACAAAAAAGTTTTGCATTTCTTTACTGTCAATCTCATTTTATCTATTATAATTTGGAAAAACTATGCTTATTTTTCTGCTCTCATTGGCTACTATAGCTACCTTTATTTATGGGAGAACTGCAGGAAAAAAAATCTCCCATCTATCAAATAGATAGCTGTCTGAAAGCATGGGCATCTTCAAAAGAACCTCTCCAACAGATCTTAACAGCTAGACATGTTCATAACAAGACGCAATCCTTCAGATAGTCATTTTAGGACTTTACTTATGAATATCAACACCCTGAATTGTACCTGGTAAACAACCAGTAATTATAGCAGGTCTTTTAATGCAAGTATCATGTGATACCCATACCTGTACCAGTTAGCAACCCAGCTGTCATATTTTGCAGCAACTGCAGCTTCAAAACTTTTTAAAGGCTAGCATGTTGCAATAGTAAAAATAAAATATAAATAAGAAATGGATGGAACCAAGGCATGAGGCATGGGGGGTGGGGAGCCAAGAGTTGAATAAAAAGGAGGCAACCCTAATCTCTTCACACACCCTGTCCACATCACAGAGACCTCAAAGAATCCAGAATAACCAGACAAGTATTGCTGAAATTAAATAGTTGCTGAGAGGAGGATAACAAATTGCCATCAGGATGCATTTCAGTTGGCACAATATGCCATCTGAGCAATACCTTCATTGTAGCTTTTCTCATTTGGGTCAACTGATAGGAAGTTCCAAATGAAGAATCACTGGGTATCAGCAACCTGGATGTTAAGGTCCAATTTCCTATGGCCCACAATTCTTTGTCAGTGAGACAGTAGTATCTGAGATACTTTCCACTGCTGTTTTTATCCCAGCCAAAACCAGTACTTTGATTGTAAACCAGCCTGGAAAAGCATGGACTGGCTCAACTTGGTTGTCGATCTCATCTCTGCAGTAGCCATGTATAACATCACACCTGCACACACTACTGCACTATGGATTGGTGAAAATCTATTTTACAGTCAAAAATGGAAGAATAAAGCTTTTTATATAAATAATGTAGCAACCGACAAAGAGTATGATTGTGTGTGTGCGTGTGTGTGCATGTATAGAGAGAGAGTTGCAGAGAATCAAGGCTAAGCTTATCTAGGCTCTGCTGAGACCAGATTTAAAATACTTTGAGTGATTAACAGGTTTTCTTGTTTAAAAATATTATCCTGTAGGAGGCTCACACATGTGTGTGCCCACACACGCACACACATAAAGGAAGAGGAGGACGGCCAGGCTCAGAATAAGGAAGGACTCGCTTACCTCCAGGTAGTGAACTATGTGCTTAAACTCTTTTTCTTCATAATCACTAAAAAGAATGGCTCTTTGTTCAGTGTGTAACAAGCTGTGAACAAGTCCTCCTGCCTAATGTAGCTCCGCAGTCCACAAAGTCATTCAATCACTTTGTCACTATGGCACCTTACAAATGAGACAAGGAATTTGCTAGCTGAGCTTTGTAGGAATCGCAACTATTTCTGTTCTTTCAGACTAAGAAGCTAATCCCTGAATGTCACCATGCAGTATGGCAAACCAGAGTCAGATAATAAGAGGGTTGAGGAAAGAGGCTGGTAACAGAACAACAAGTTCAGCACAGAGTCCATGGGATTTTTTAAAAAAAATGATCAGCATCATTTAGGGCCTGTCAGAGCTCTAATACTGGGGTCTCCAGCATAGCACCCATGGGTCCCATTACAGCAGCAGAGGCTGCCAACTGGGCCCGTGAGGCCGTGTCCCTTCAGACCTTCCAAAATGAATTTTAAAGGCCATTTGCATCTGGCTTAAAGCCCTCCTTCCCAATTATATGCAAATCAAACAAAAGTAGGAAAGAGTTGTTTCTTTTGTCTACGCAGGCTATTCCCTCTCCCCGTATATTCTAGCCTGCTTCTTTTTCCGCACAGCTTTAGCTGTGCTTCTTCGCCTCTCTCAGCTTCCTTGCTTGCTTTTCCTTCCCACATTTACATGGATATCAAACCCTTCCTGTGTGAAAGCTCCAATCCTAAAGGGAAAGGCACCAGTCTGGGAAAACACCAGAAAAAGAGGTAGGGGAACATTCTCTTCTTTGGGGATTAGAGATGTTTTCCTTTTCTCTTAGGGTGGACAGAGACTAACAGAGAAGTTCTACATAGATGTGTTTTAAAATTAGATTATTTTAATAGGCAGCTTCCTGCCTTATTTCTGTATTGCATTTATACAGTCACCCAACTCAGCTAAGTGACATAAGAGAACGCGGCCCTAGGGCCTTTTCCCACGTGCCTCTAACCATGGCACAAACATGTCCTGGCAACATCTTGATGGAATGTGAAGAGGAAAGGTGATTCTCTGGCCAGTGGATGGAACACTAGTCTCACCAGCTTTCCTTCCACAAAATTAATTAGTTTAGTTTAGT